CCCTCTCTCTCACACACACACACACACACACACACACACACACACACACACACACATGAATGTACTCTAACAGTCATGTGCACAGATGATTTTTAATAAAATGACCATTAAATGAGCATGTTTTGTGCTTGCAGGTGTGTGTGTTGACCTGATGTACGGCTCTGAAACTGGACAGTGCGTTCTCTGTCTGCTTATTGTTATGGTAGAAGTGATTTCTGATTACTTAATGACAATCTGTTGGTCAGATGATCTGCTCCAGTGTTAGTGGACGAGCTGCAGAGCAATGATGTTCTTCCTCAGTTTTTCTGTCTTGTGTTCCAGCGCAAATATCGAAACATTCTGAAATCAAGATATATTTACTGGAGAAGCAAAATGACTGAAGATATTAATTCTCGTTTTCTGAAAGAAACAAATAAGAGTGAGTTATCTCTAGACAAATATCTGCCAGTGGGTTCTGAAAAATAAACAAGTCAAAATGAAAACAACATATCTTTTTGTCTGACCCAACTGACAGATTTTTTGTTTTGTTTTAAGCAAAAACTCACTTACTTATATATATATATATATATATATACTGTATATATTTATTTATTTATTTGTTTCCCCAGAAAATGAGACTTAATGCCTTACAGTGGTATTTTTGCATCATTGAAATATATTCTGGTTTTTATTAAAACTTTGAATCCGTTTTTATTTTTGTATTTTCCTTTTTAATTTTAATTTTAGTTTTAGTAAATTTGTTGTGTGTTTTTGTAACATTTTTTTTGTTTTTTATGTAAACTTTTTAGGTTTTATGTATATAATATGTCTATATAAACTTATTTTATTATTTTTATTTTAGTTTTAGTTTTTGTAGTACATCAAGTTAAACTGAAAATTAAAATAGCTGCAATAAGATTTTATATAATTTTTAAAAATATTAAAAAAATAATTTTTAAATGTTTTTCATTTTAATTCCGGGTTTTAGGCTAACTGTAATAATCCTGATAACATAAGTCATTTTGTTTTTCCAATAAATGTATTCTGATTTAGAAGTTTTTAAAAATATTTATACTAGCTAACAAGACAAAAATATATATTTTTCTGTACTGATAGTCTGCCGATGCGCTTAACTGATGTAAGACAGTGTTCCAGAAGAGCATCAGACAGTGTTATTATCACAGAAACTAAAGCTGATCAATACTTCAGTGAGATCCGTCACGCAGCTCCAGCTGAGGCTGTAATTCAATCTCTCAGATACTGATGCTCCTGATCATCTGAATGTGAACGTGAGGAAATCACTCCACAAACACTGACCTTCACCCGCCACTCTGGGGGGGTGGGGGGGGGGGGGGGGG